CAAATCAACGATTTTTTGTCAAATACCGGTTTTAGGGTAAAACGAAACCAGTCAGACCCGGTTTTTCTAGTCTGACCGTCCGGTATGTATAGCATTATATAGTGCATACCATATTGGTATCAAAGGTCACCGATACTCAAGATAAAGATACAGAGAGTTAGGGGATATTGACAGCTTCAACTGCTAATAGTCGTCCTAATAAATCCATTTATAAAAAAAAAGTATCGACCATTCAAAGTGCACGATATGCATTTTTTCTGTTTTTTGTATACTGTGTGTTGATATTTTAGACCTTGTGTCCCACATGATGTATAGAGGATTTGGACGACCATTACATGGGTTTGACCTAAATCTCCCCATAGGTAGCGTCTTGTGGGTGGTAAATCCGGTTTCATACAATTTCACCAATACAATTTGTGAATTATTTCTAAAATCCATGAAGGCGCTATGCACATGTACAAGGAAATATTAACCATGTATGATATTATAGTATTTGGATTTAACTTTATCTTTATATATGGAGCTAATTTTAGGGAGAGTCAAATTCTTTGACAAGTAGATGCAATTTTTTCCACTTTAATTAATAACAGTAGCAATACCTACCTATAGACAATATTACCTATAAACAAATTTTCATCAACATACATGCAGATTTACCAATAGACAATTTTCTTATATCTTTGATCTTTGATTTATTCGTTTCCAAATTAAGCATCATGAGTAGTTTTGGGAGTACTTTGGAGTATCATAATCAATGAAGATTTGATTAGAGTTGGTTATATAGTTATAGTTTTCATACTGCAGCTAATCTAATCATCTATTATTCTTAACATGTACAGGGGCAAACATGAATTAATTAATGGAAATTAACCTATACTTCCTATATTCTACAGTTTTACTTATTTATCTTCTCATATGAGCCTTAACTTTCGAAATATTTTCTCAAAATTTCTATCAAAATGGTAATTAATGCACAATGGGATTTGTTAAGTATTCTCTAGTGTTGATATAATGTGAGGGGGTGGATAAGGGGTGTTCTTGTAGCTTGAAACTGAAACCATCTTGGCTCTTGCATGTCCCATTGACGCTAAAGCATGCATTATTTGCTTTTCAAGAAGGGATTTTTCTCCCCAAACAGCTGCAGCTGATGAATTCTGTGTTTGTTTTTGTTTTTAAGGAGACTATAATTCCTTGGATATATCCATTCCTGTTGGAGAATTCTATTTCCTTTCCTTGGCGAGTCGTATATGATTTTTGCTGATGCAGTGGTATGATCAACAGGGACCATATAAGGTGCCTCACACCCATTCTGATAAATTCTCCCCTGGTCTTAATTAGCTCTACTTTTACATGAAAATTCTCTGTTGAGCTTGGTTGAATGGGATGAGCTTAAGGGCTATTTTCAAGAAAGAAGGAAGAAACCATGCATCTTATCAAAGATATTAATTTGGAGTCTGTTGGGAGACAAGAAGTGGAATCCCCCACCACAACAATTTATATTATTAGAGGTAGATTTATTCGAACTAGGGGCCGAGGCCGAATCCCCACCAGAAATGTACAAACCAGTGGGTAGATTCAACTTGTGGCGCTTATCCTACCTGTTTTGAGCATGTACTATTGTATGGAGAGAGAGAGAGAGAGAGAGAGAGAGAGGTGCAACTAATTACATTGTATTTGAGAATAAGAACAAGAGAGTGATTACTGCACCATGCATGTAGACAGTCTAACAAGAAACGATCTAGCTACTTACTAGTTGGATTATGGATGGATCATTATTTTGTTGGCCTCACAAAGAAAGGAAATCAATATTGTCTCTGAAATTACTCAAACAGTTTTTAACAGTCGAATTCAATGTAGGACTGATGGTCACACTGACATGGCGTGCACCCAATAATATGTACAGAGACATTTTGGGCCACATCAACATGCATGCACATGCACTCTCTGTACCAAGAATTGTTGCTTCATACATATTAGGTGGATACATATGATTTTGTAGAGATGAGTTAGCCCCGGTGAATTAATGCATGGTTCTCTCTATAATTCCTTATACTCTCTCTCTCTGTGCCTCCATGATTTCGTGGGCTTAATGGAATGTTTAAGATGACCCAGTTAATGAGTTTTGATGTCCATTTTCTACTTCTTGCCAGAGGTACCCACTGATTTGGTTGAATTCCTTGCACTAATGAGGGATTCTAGAGCTCACCCCACCCTGGGCCTGGCTGCTAAGAGCATCAGAGCAGATCCAAATGTATTTCATAGGCTCTGGGTTCAGTCTAGTTCCTGAGGCAGCAGACTACCAGACAACACTTGGGCTGACAGCGACTGGAACATGGCTAGCTGATCCATCATTCAGTGGTTCATATCAAACAAGCCTCCTGTGCCCAACCCACTGCTTTTGTGACTACAGTCCTCTACCACTTTGCAGGCTATTTGTTCCCCAATAATTTGTCCAAAAAAACTTTTCTTTTTTGTCTTTCCATTAAGCTATTTGTCTAAAAACATTGAATTGGTCATCACCAGAGAGAATCAATTTTCTGTCATGAGGAATCTCCTTCGGTGTACCGATTCAATAGAAAGAGAGGTCAAGGGGGTAGGGGCCTGGGGGTTGCTACACTCTTTTTCATTTATTCCATGTGTATGGTCGTCCATTTAGAAGACCAAAGTTGCACCTTAACCCTTAAAAAAGTCCCTCAGAGTGTGACCTGAGATTCTAGTGTATAGACAAAACATGCCTAAACAACCAATCAAATATGACCATATGAGAAGCCATCAAATAAAATTTGTGGTTCAAATGATCAGAATAAATTGCCAAAAAAAAAGAGAATAAGTTTTACCCTACATTATCTCAGCATCTGATCCCAATTGTCAGACCTTCAATACATTAAGGTTATGTTTGGTTTGAAGGAAAAGGTAAGGAAACCTTTACAAATCTTATATATATAAGTTTCCCTACTTTTTCCTTCAAACCAAACACAGCCTAATTTATGGATTTTTCCAAAGTGCTCCGCCTTAATTGCCATCTGGAAATCATGTTCTGAATTTTTATATATGCTCACACTTCCTAATTCAAAGAAAACTATGATGAATTGTTTGTGTCAATTTGACTATTAGCCACCTACTTTACAAGACAATATGACATAGAGCCTGATAATGAAATATCATGGTGTCCTTTGTTCTATCTTTTTCATTTGTTATAGAAAGTATGTGTTTTCCGGCCCCCCCCGTCTCTTCACCTTTGTTTCTTTAATATTTTTCTTCATTAATTCTTTATGTAAATGTGTATGTATGTATTTTTGTGTGTATATAGGTATATATATGTATGCATACCCTCATTGGAGGAAAGTTTCTATATATAAATACATCCACGAGATGTGAAGTTGCGGGCATTAGATTAAACATCTATTTTTTTGAAGTCTTAAAATATTTCATTCATTCAAGAGATTGATACAAAGAGATGCCAACAAGGCCAATTAAAGTGCAAAGACAAATCTCAAGAAGAACAAAATAAAAAGATGGATGTAGGAGAATCAAAAGAACTTCTACAACCTGCAATCAAAGCAAGGTGACTTAAAATCACCAACAAAAGTGGATAAATACATCTCCAAACCACCCTAACTGGAGAGCATAACTGATAGGGCAGGTTTCCAAATCCATAAGCCAAGATCTGTAACTTTCGCCCACTCCGAACCAATCCGCAAAGAAGCCAGAACTATAACTGTCAATCAGCACACTGGAAGAACTGTTATTGCCATCCTAGACGCTGGAGAACTAAAGCTACCTTCCAAAACGCTGGGAACGGCAATGCACGTGGCAGCTTCCATCGGTGGTTAATGCAGAAAGGATTCTAGAGAAGAAACTCCCAATCAAAACGTCCGTAGAAAGATCGAACAGACTGACAGATGGGAACCTGGGGAGAACAGAAGGGAATAGGGGAGAACTAAAAGGAGAACAAACAAAAAACAAAACGAATAGAGGGCAAACGAACAACCAAAGGGCAAACGAAACAAACAAAGGGCAAACGAACAGAACAAAGAGAGAAACAGAAAAAAGCTGCTTCACAGTGGTTTCACGCAGAATGTTCCACATAACAGTTTAAACATCTATTTTCATCACAAAAAAGAAAAAGATTAGACATATTGGGGATCGTAGAATTGAAACTGTTACAACGCGGTTGATAAAAGCAATTACTTTACATGCATGATCAACCCTAGAACTCAGGAAATTTCTTTTAGTTCTGTGTTTGTTTGGTTGCAGTACAAATTTCATTTGCACCGGTGTAAATGCATGGGAGTGCGAAAAGACGATACTAGTGTAAATTCTAGTTTACTTTTATAATTTAAATTGCACTTTATTTTATTTGTTTGTGAGAAGTAAAATAAAGTGACCTCCACTTTAAATAAAAGAGAATAGAGGTAGGAGGGGAATTATATATCTTCCTAGGAATAAGATAGGATGCAACATGATGCAATCCCTAAAAGAATTGAAGTAAAAGAAAGGTGTACTAATTTTGCATCAGTTTTTGGGATACAATATTTGCACTGCCAGTGGAGTGCAAAAAAATATATATTTGTGTATATATATATATACAAATTTTGTATCAGGCAAGAATGCAAATCATAATTACAAATAAGCAAAACTGAACGATGGGGTGATCCTCCATATTAATTTCCCATTAGCATGAAGGAGATAATATGATAAATATTTCCTTCAAAATTAATCGGTGATTATTTTGTTCTAATTTGACTTTAAAATCTAAATGCTTTGAACTTCACATGAGCATTCAGCATTAATAGTCAAATTAAATCCCTGTTTGCTGAGATTATATTTTGGTGCCTTGAGGTCAATGGTGTTGAATATTGATCCAGAATTAACTATATATGTAAGAAACCTGCTATGTGCTTTGCTTGGTTGGGACAAAATTAAAAAAGATATTTTCTACCATCTTATTGAATATTACTACATCATCATCAATATATAGAATTTAAATTCAAATAAAAAAGAAAATTAACATAAAGTACTGAAAAACTTTAGACCTTGTATATATAATTAAATATCCACTCTCTTGGTCAATGCATATGGATCAATAGGAGTCAAGTGTCGGCCATTGGGCTGTGGAGATAACAACTCTGATCAACCTTTTGAAAGTACATCTGAATTGTTATTTGTAGGATATATCTTGTACTTAATTCCTCTCATTACCAGAACATCAAGCTCAACTCAACTAAGGACGGCCATGGTTGTAGGTTGTAACTAGCTGCTAGTGTTGAGACAAACTGATTAGTTAGCAGATAATCATGAATCTTTGCAGTATTGATACAAGTGTTAAGAAGGAAAACAAGATTTGAAGAAGAAAATAATAATGGCTGTCATTATCCATTAATTGCTCTGACTCTTTCTCTCTCTTATTAGATTTATCTGGACTTTCTCCACCTTTCAATGAACCATTTGCTACTGCTGGTTGTTTGGTTGTACAAAAGTCAAGCTACGTCGGCCTTTTCTTTTGGGTTGCCATTTCTCAAACTGAAGTCAACTTCCTGGATTCTAGGAAATTCTTCCTCTTTGGCTCACAAGATGATACGTACTCAAGAAAAGAAGAAAAGTCAGTATCCTTGTAACGCCTCGGATTAGCCTCATCGACCAGCTTGGATGATGGCCGAACCACTCTGTCGAAGCCAAAGCTGTGCAAAGAAGCAACCGACATGCGAGACTTAGAAGAGTTCACAAGAACTCTATGCAACACACTCTTGTATCTGCCATTGCTGAATATCTGGAGCCCAATTAACCAGACAATTACAGGCACCAGAGTTAGAAAAGAAGATGGTGAATTAAAAAGTTCAATCCCTGAAAAACTATGAAATCGAATACTATTAATTATTAATGGACCAACCTCGAGATGGTCTCCGACGTTGACAACGAAAGAGTTGGGGAGTGGCTCAACAGTCACCCATTTTCCTTGGGACTGTATCTGAAGGCCCTCGACCTCATCCTGGAGGAGAATTGTTAAGAAGCCATAGTCAGAATGCGGTGGCATGCCGAGCGTTAGATCCGGTTGGGGACACGATGGGTAGCAGTTGACAACCATGAGATGGCTCCCATCTTGGAATTCCTTCCAGACATTGTCTTCGTCTTCTTTCATGGTGGTTCCCACCAGTCCTAAGCTCTCTAGGACGGCTTCCACAAGCTTGATATACAAGAATTTGGCTTGTTGGGAGTATGTAACTGCTGCTTCCCTGTTCACATTTATTTTATTATTACTACTGTTAGCATTTACACAAACAATTTCTTATTCAATTCAGTAGGTAACCATGGACTCTGAACTCCAATTAAAAATTCAAAAATTCACACAAGAGAGAGAGAGCATCTAAGCTGTCTTCTCATCACCTTAAATCAGCAGGAGAAGTAGGCCAATAAGGAAGAACATCAGAGAGAGGATTGCAGACTAGCTTCAAAAAGTCTCGCCAGCAAAACACACCATCGTTCTTCTGATTAAAGCTGGTTCCATATCGAACAGGTGCACTCATGTCGGCAGACATGTACTTGGCTCTATCCTCGAAGGGGAGATCAAAGAACCTTTTGCACGCATCGATCATCTTCTGTATAACACCCATGGGAATGCCATGGTTTGTCACCTGCAATTAATCTACCATGATGAGCTTCCTGTCTCTGAATGACCAACTTAGTAGTTCACAGCAACTAAATCATTTAAACTGACTGAAATTTAAAGCTGATTGTCCACCTGAAAGAACCCATATTCTTCACAGGCTTTCGCCAGGTTCTTTAGAACTTGGGACCTCTCAGGACCTTGCAATTGAGCGAAATCGATAATGGGCAGCTTGAGATTGAGGTCATGAAGGTTCTGTCGCTCATTCAGATTGGGCCGGTCTGAAACAGGCAGAATATATTTTCTGGGAACGCTTGTGATCCCGTTCTCACATAGATGCCTGACTCCTTTCTGGTATCGAGTATTATCGATTGATGGATCATCTTCCCTTCGACTCATTACAGGTGACATGAATACAAAATATAACCTTCTACCTGTCAAATGTTTGCAGAGAGATTCATTTCAACAAAACAAATCAGGAAACCAGAAATGCAATAATTTAACATGGGCATGGAGATTTGGACTAACAACTATAATTACCTTAAGCCTCAGAGAGAGAGAGAGAGAGAGAGACGTATGAGTGATTTGAGAAAAGCGGTATATTTATAGGAGAAGATGAATGTTGTTGTACAGTGGAAGGTATTCTGAAATCCGTCATCGGCTTTAGGAATCCAGAGGACCGATTCCAGATAATGAAACCGTTGACTAAGTTTGGTCAGAACAAGAGGTGGTGGGGGCAAACAGAGGGAATTGGAAACACATGACGTAGTCTCTACTCCAACCTGCTTTTCTTATTGTCTCAAGCAATAACAGATTTACATGTGGGAATTATTCTAGATTAGCCAGCGGATTGGACTTCAAATATTACCGTCTACCATATATGTATGTGAGTCTGTAGGTATGATTCTAGCAGTCTAGAGCTACTTGTCAGAAAAACTCTACAAACAGTATTCATCTCTCTCTCTCCTGCATGAGTTGGTAGGAATTTGGGAAGCAGAAATGTATAGCACATAGATTGGTATTAGCCAATGTTTTCGAACCGTAGTTGATCCGAACGGTCGGACCGTTTGGATCGAAAACCGTTTAGGCAACCAGTTTTGTTTTATCCTAAATCCGGTTTTTGGTAAAAAAACTGTTGAATTATTCAACGAACCATTGATCCAGACGGTTTGACTGTTAAACCGTTCGATCCAAAGAACGGTTTGCGGTTTATTACTTTTGTTAAAACAAGAATGAAAAGAGAAGAAGATCTCTCAGATCTGAGATCTAATAGAGAGAGATCAATTGAGGGATGTGTGAGACAGTGAGAGAGATCTGGAAGAGTAGTCTAGACTCTAGACTACAAATCTGCGAGAGAGATAGAATGAGATCTGAGACTGAGAAATCTCAGATCTACTTTCATTGCCAATTCGCCACCATTGCCGCTGCTGTTGCCGTTGTACTTCACCATTGCTGTCGCCATTGCCGTAACTGTTGCCACTGTAAGTCGCTGTCGTCGTTGCCGTTTCGGCCTGCAAGTGACCTCCTCCTCCTCTTTCTTCTTCTTCTTCTTCTAAACTCTTTCAGCCGTTGACAACTTCTCAAATCTCTCTCATTCTCAAATAGTCAAACCTTATTTCTCTTATATTTATATGCATTTTACCCTAATATTTCAATCTAATGGATAAGATGGTATATCACTTATTAAAATATTTAAACCATTTGAACCGTTTAATCTGAATGATTGAACCGCTGACCCAAAAACCGGTGGTCAGATGGATTTCGTTTTCGAATTGGTTTTTAAAACCTTGATACGTATTAGCACGTGAATTGCACTTGGGTAGAACACGACGGATTTCTAGTACAAGCAAAGATAAAAGAATGATGACATGGGAATAGTCAAAAGTACAAAACAATCTATACTAGGCAAATAGAAATTTGCTACATATAAAGATTTTATGTTAATATAGAAATATAGTTTCAGAATATATATTGCAATTTGTGGTTAATGGGTCTTTATTGTTTGTCAAATTTTCATTAAATATGAATTAAATACATAATATTTAGTTATTTAACAAAATATTGATTGATAGAATACAGCTATTGAAGGCGGATAGATCATATAGATATGTGCAATGTTATCTGTTGCACATAAGACCCATTCTTCGTGGACTATTCATTAATTAAGGTTGGGTTTGGACCAGGTGAGTACAATGAACTTGTGAGAAATGGGTGATTAAGATATTAGTGAAAGTAGTTATTTAAAAGGGGGCATCAACCAGCTTATTTCCTAACTATATAATTAATTTGTTGTTGATAGATATATACATGAAACTGTGTGCCCCTTTTTAGCTTAGGTCAGGTTTTCTAGCTATTAGGCACGAGTGACCTACGCCTACGTACCCTAACCACTAAGTCAATTCCCCAAATCACAAGCCAGCACTGTAGTAACTTGTGGTGGTCGTGGTGCCAAGCTGGTCTACAGTTTTCTCCCTCTTATGCCATTTTGTCCTTTTGTACTCCATTCATTGCACGGTTAGAATCCACATCATCACCTTCTGCTTATTGTACATGTAACTAATATACTATATGATTTTCCCCTCCTTCCATCTCACTTGTGGGGAATCTCTCTATATATCTATTTATCTGTCTATATATTAACTTAAATATATTATTATTAGTCTATATTTACAATCCTATATCTTTGTACTTTGTACTTTGGATATATTATAATTAGTTTGTTTGTACTTGTATATATATGCATGCCTATGATGATAATTATTCATAACTTGTACATTTGATATATATATATATATATATTCTATCACCATTTAATTCCCACAGGATGACAGGATGATTACTCTAATAGCCATGTGTCTCTGCATGTATCTGAGAGAGGTCTAGAGAGAGAGAGAGAGGTCGGCAGCAATGTGTTTTTTTTTGAGTGTCTTCTTCTGTTATGAGTTATGAGCAGGGATTAGAAGGAGTAGGTAGGTTGTGATTTCATTGTCAACACAGGTTTTTGATGGACAAGTTCAAATCACATTATTGTTGTTATCTTGTCAGGGTGATAGCAGAGAAGATAGCCTTTTTATGTTTTTGGGATAATCAAAGTAAAAAGGGATGACCTATCATAATGTGACACTAATACAACCACCAACCTTTTCTAGGAAAAAAAAGGGTTAACCCACAAAACACAATGCATTTAATCCTTTGATAGTAGCATGCATTAATTGACCCGACCATCATCAATAAGTCTCCTGTGAATTAATCTTAATTTATTAGCGAGCTAATGAAAAAGAAGATCGCAAATTATTTATTATTTTTAGCAACTAAAATATATAAACTTAAGGCAAAAATTTGCATTTCCATGATACAGATCAATATGCATTTAGAACCGTAAATGATAGTATTGCCACCATGAGCAATTTAATGTTGCAGATGCCACACATGGAACTATTAACATTACTGCATTGATTTTGCAAACATTTGGGAATTGGGATGTAACATTACAGAGTTCATGCGTGTTGTAATATTTACGGGTCAGGTGCGTATATATTTGCATTGTATCCTGAGAAATCATCCATAAATGATAACGTTTTATATCTTAATTAAAATCTTTATATTAGAGAATGAGAAATTGTAATTGTTCTTTTTCCGCTTGCTTTCTTCTATCTTCTCTCCTTAACTTAAAAGCCCCTAAACATATATGGTCGAGAAAGCTTGACCAGCTACCTTGGTTATTTAGTAAGTGAGAGGGGAATAGATCTCAATCCCAGGTTGGCAAAGCCGATTATAGATATGCCGCCACTGAGAACTGATAAGGAAATTAGGGTTTGGGACGTGTACAGTATGATTGCAGATTTATCGCAGTTGACACTGATTTGTGAGCAGGTTTGAAAATTTCTTTCTGTGCCATAAAATATGCAAATATAAGAATATCTAAGTAACCCATATGAGCTCAAGCACAAAAATATCTCAGATTTACCATGTCACACTGGATTATTGAAGTAATGAATCCATTAGGAGTGCTGCATGGGAGGTAATAAAAGCGAACCTAACGATGGAAGTAAGTGAATTTATACCTATAAGCCTAACTAGCAGCCTCGTAAGTGAATTTAGACCTATAAACTTAACTAGCAGTCTCTACAAAGTCATAGCCAAAGTGTTGGTGGTTCGTCTACAAGAAGTTGTTGTGAAGGTGATATTCAAGATCAAATGTGTCTTTGTTAGGGGAAGACAAATTACCAAAGAGTAGGGGTATCCATGGTATTCGAAAATTTGATTTCGAATTCAAGATTCGACAAAATTGAATCAAATTCGAATATCTAAGTGGTCGAATTCGGATAATCTATTCATACTGAATAGCTAATCGGATTCGAATTCGGATATGACCTGATTCGATTCAATAAATATCCGAATTCGACCTATTACTTAATTCTTATATATAATATATAAAATTTTTAAATTTTTTATAGAATTTATATATATATATATAATTAAATTATATAAATAATATATATATTTATACACTTTATATAAATAAAATATTTATTTTGTATATTTATTAATTACTTAAAATAATTGATTAGTCAAATTTGAATAAAATCAAATATTCAAGTATTTAATCGAATTTTAATTTTCAATATCCGTCGGATATCGAATTTTTTAATTGGATTCGAATTCGGATATTGTCTGATGTGATTCAAATTTAATCCATTTACACCCCTATCGATGACATCCTAATTCCAAATGGGTGGGTGTGTGAAAGACAGAAAAAAAAGTGGCAAGGTAGGAGTCGTGATTAAGTTGGACCTCGAAAAAGTGTATGACAGGATAAATTAGAATGCTTTGGAAATGGTTATGAGACTGAAAGGCCTGAGATAAGTGGATCAAGTTGGTAATGGGCTGTGTTAAGAATTTGTGATTCTCAGTTTTAGTAAATGGGGAACCTAAAGGGTACTTCAAAGCCTCGAGGGGTATTAGACAGGGGTGTCTATTGTCACTGTTCCTTTTCACTCTTGTTGATGACATCTTTAGTTGTTTGTTGGATAAGGGAGCCAGCTTACAACTCCTCAAAGGTTTTAAAGTCGGCATAGATAGATTACCCATTACCCATTATTCATTTGTAGTATGTGGATGACACTATGTTGTTTCTTGAGGCGGATGTAAAAGGGTTGGAACAACTAAAGTGAGTCATTAGTTGTTTTGGAGCCATTTCAGCTTTGCAAATTATTTTTCAAAAAGCAGTTTAGCTTTAATCAATACTCCTCTAGAATCAACGTCGATGCTAGATGGAATCTTGGGGTGTGGGACCGACGATTGTCCAATTACTTATCTAGGGATGCCTGAGGTGGAAATCCAAAAAGCCTACAATTCTGGGAGCCAATAGTGAAAAGTGTAAAAATAGATTAGCTTTGTGGAAGGAGAATTACCTTTCAAAGGGGGAAGCTAATCCTCGTCAAGGCAGTACTCGCAAACCTTCCTACTTTATATCAGTGTTCAAAGCTCCAATTAAAGTTCTCGACAAGATAAAAAAAAAACTTCAGAGAGATTTTCTTTGGGAGGGTGGTATAAGCAAGGGAAATCACT